AAACGACATACTTTAGTTTCCAATCACAAAGAAATGTGGATTTTCTTTTAACCTTCGCTGAATGGAATTCAGGTTCTCTGATGCCACCTTCTGGATCAAACCCGTGCTAATAAAGCAACACAGGAGCCCGAGGTTTCTATGAAACTAGAGCTTAGAAGTGTCTTGGAATGCACCTTAGAACAGTTCATATTTCTATTTAGAGCTTTCCCTCCACCCCAACTGTGAAAACACTTCCATAGATTTTCAACAAATTAACTACTGCCCAGAAAAGAAGTAGCTTTACACAGACAATGAAGGAGACGAGACCGTTTCCACAGTGCCAGTTAACAACCACCCTCTTAGTGCCGCAACTTGGTGCTGAGCCACATCAGCTTCGGCATAAGTCGTCAGAGATGGCCACACAAGAAAGTGGCAAAGAGCAAGCAAGCTGTGATTTGCTGGGCTACCTCTTGGCATCATAGCAGGATTTAAAAGGCTGGTTTCCAAACAGAAGCCCTGTAATATCTGAGGAAAGTTGCTGGCCCTGTGAAAGGAAACAAACGTTTGGTTGAAATGGGGGCCTGGACAGGTAGGGAGATGAGCTAAATGAAGCCACAATGATCTGTTCCCATATTCTGTAAATGGTGTGCTACTTCCTTCAGTACCTCCTGTGTGCTGAGCACTTTACAAGAACCATACAAGAGATATCCCTGAGAGCAAGGTGTGATTCCCATTTGGAAATGTGGAAATTGAGGCTCAAAGATGACAGTAAGAAAGAGTCAGACTCAGACACTAAAATTTATTTTTAATGAAACAGGAAGCATTGTCTCAGCAACATCTGCAAGGCAAAAAAATAACAATATCGCCCCCCCGCCCCTCCCTCCCTCCCTCAAAAATGGCAGAAGGGTAAATTTTTAATGAAGTCTTGACCTGCATATTACTTGAATTGTAAGCCTACATCTCCAGGACCCCTGCAAAGTAAATGCCCACTCACTTAGAGTGGGGATTGACTGGGAGACTATCATGCTCTGCCACTCACTTGGTGTCCAGGCCTCATCTTTCTCCCCTTTCCTATATAGAGTTGGCTTGAAATTACATTCAAATCCATGTTCCCCGACCTGAAAGAAACAGCACTCCCACAGTCTCTGGATTCCTGAAATTTGTTTTTCACAATCCCATCCAGTCCAGTCCCAATCCTGCTTCTGCCTGGCATTACAAGTGTTTTCCAAAAGGATAGAAAGACAGATCCGTAGTCTGATGTGAAGATGGCAAGATCAGGCATTTTGGAAAGGTGACATTCTAATAAATTCAGTATGTTTGTAATAATGGCACTCACGCTGAACTGGAACAGGATGCCACTGACTAGTTAAAGACATCGATTATAAACTTAGTGTCTGAGCAGCGCTCAGGGAGTGATCCTAACATTGTTGCAAGCTCGTATCTTAGAGACCCAGGGAAGACATTTCAACACCATGATAAAAAACGTTGCAGCTGACGGGATGGATACTACCCTCTTCCCAGCATTTGTGGCCCCACAGAACATAAGGTTGCACTTACTCATCTGGCAGATCTCGACAGCTAATTCCGGGTCCACTCTCTTCTGCTTACAGGCCCATCGGCTGGCCAGTACTAGATTTTGCCATCACAGGTCCTGAAGGAAACAGTGATTATACAGATCTACAAGGAGACTTGCTTACAGATGGACAGCCTAACACAGTTGCAGGAAAATTAGGTAAGTTGGAAGCTCGTACCATCAGTGGCTGGGGCAAACTTCCCCTTCCCCTGATCCACAAAACACCAAGGCAGCCAAGGGCCGTCAGCTGTCCTAACACCGCACGCGATCCCTCAGAGCCTTACTGTCTCGCTTCACGTGGGAAAGAACAGAAAGACCCCTCATTGGTTAAGAAAGGTTACCAAAATGGCGAAGATCAACATTTGAAGCAAGCCCCAGCAACGATATATTCACCCCAAACGCCCTACAATAGAAAGCAGAATCAGCTCCACGGCGGCGGCCACTCACCAGTCAGACTGTCTGGCATCCCCACCCACCCAGCCAAACGCTGCCACCCTTCCCTCACTTTAAGCCGCAAACATGACAAAGCAGTAAGACCACAATTGGGAAGGAGGCTCCGAGACCCACATTTAAACAAAGAACGTCTTCTTCACGTTTCATCATGCCCATACAATAATACCCAACACCAAACCCGGAAGTGCCTGAGAGATCGTCTCCGCCATCCACCCAGGAGCCCGCAGACACATCTGTCAAAGTGTCCATGAGGACACACCATCTACCCGACTCTCCAAATCACACTGCAGATGGCCAGATACGAATAAAGGTAGTAAAACTTACACTTTTCCGATCTCCGGAAAGGGAGCCGCCATGTTAAAACCTAACTGAGGAAAACGGTCGACGGAAGCCCCCACAGCACAATCCAGACAGTCAAGAGCTCAGGCACGCGCTAGGGCCTCTTCCACAACGTTCCAGGCCCCCGCCTCCCAACACCGTCATTGGTGGGCCTGTGATGATTGACGGGGAGATTGGCCATTCCTCTCAGGTAGATCTATTGGTGGGAAACTGTCCATTTGCCAAGGCCCAGCTGACATCATGAAATCTCTGCTCGTATTCCTATGTCTCTCTATATCCGTGTCCATCCCTCAACGCCTAGCTCTACTTCTTAGGCCCTTGCACATACCTTGTGCTTTGTTTCTTGTCATCATAGACTTTGGAAAGCATTTACATTCAATTTACCCAGACCTAGATTAATTCCATCCACCTCCAGGGAGCCTTCCAGGTTTTACTCCTTCCAGGCAAAATGTGAGTTCTTCATATGAGATACGGACATGGAGATGTATCAGAGCAGATATGCAGAGGACTGTTTCTGAGCCCTGGGGCCAGGTAGTACTGGGCTGTGCATGGTGTGATGGACCCAAGGTTTGCACTTGTATAATTTGCAAGTCAGTTCACGTTGCAGACATTTGGGGAAGACGAGGGAACACTGACAACAGGCTAACTCTTAGAAGCTTGCTAGGATTGGTACCACCCTTTTCAGGAATTCCATATCCTTTCCTGCTTTTCTGTCTGGGAAAATCTTGTCCTTCCTATCAGGCCCAGGCATAAATCACTTCCCTAGCTCTTTTCCTGAATTCATGTTCCCACCGCAACCACAAGCGTTATTTCTCCTATTGCTATAGGAAGAAAGTAATGAGGATTTCATATCTCTGCTGCAAATGTCACTAAGCTTCACGGTTATGCAAAATGAGACTGGAGGCCCACTTCTTTCCACGAGGCCTCTTACTGAGAGATTTCTGCACCTGCTCTCAAATTGTGAGTTGTACAAACAAGAAGGCGCATTTTCCCCTAGGCGTGACTTCCTTGAGTGTTGAACTCATCTACACTCCACATGGTGTGTGGACCACATAGCCACTGGGTCCCTTAACTAGACTGTGTGGTCACAGTGCACAGTGCTCTGAGGAAAGATGACCTAATGCTAGCACTGTCCTTCCTGTGGGAGAGATCCTATAGGAGAGTATCTGAGGCTGCGTGGTGTGCACAGTGTTATGCAACAGTCCATGACGTGGCCCTACCCACTCTGACGGCTAATTTTACATGTCAAATTGACTGGTCATGGAGCGTCCAAATTAAACATTATTTCTGGTTGTATCTGTGAGGGTGTTTCTGGATGAGATGTGCATTTGAACAGGTGACTTAGTGAAATAGAAGGCCTTCCCCAATGTGGGTAGACATTATCCTATCCGTTGAGGGTCCAAATGGAACAAAAGGCAGAGAAAAGAAAAATTATTCCCTTTTTTCCCTATCTCACTGCTTGAGATAGAACAAGTCTCCTCGTTTTCTCCTTCTCCTCAACTTGTCTCCAACCCTCAACCAGCCCCCCCGGTTCACAGGCCTTCAGAGTGGGACTGAGTTATATCACTGTCTCTCCTGGGTTTGTAGCTTGTAGGCAGGAGATTGTGGAATTTCTCAGCCTCCATAAATAGGGAACTAAACTCAAGATAAATCTCAAGATATATAGATAGATAGATATATGTGTGTGTGTGTGTGTGTGTGTGTGTGTATGTGTTGTGTATAGGCTTCCTTCATAGCTCAGCTCATAAAGAATCTGCCTGCAATGCAGGAGACCGAGGCCTGATTCCTTGGTCAGAAAGATCCCCTGGAGAAGGACATGCCAACCCACTCCGGTATTGCTGCCTGGAGATCCCATGGGCCGAGGAGCCTGGCGGTCTACAGTCCATGGGGTCACAAGAGTCAGACATGACTTAGTGACTAAACGAACAGCCAATATATAGATAGATAGTTAGGTATATGATAGATATTGATAGATAGATATAGGTAAACAGATAGATAGATATAGATATAAAATGTCTCTTATTGGTTCTGTTTTCTTGAATAACTCTGACTGTTATATCTGGAACATCACATCCAGTTGCAGCTGTTAGACTTGGCTTCATAGTCCTCAAATAGAATTCGGAAAAAACAGCAAAATCAAATACATGCAAATTAGTTCCAAACTATGAGTGAGGAAACTAAGATAACCAGAAACAAACAGCCAGATATTGGCTCAGAGGGGTTTCTTTTCCACTAGATTAGCTGCTCCTTTGCAAGCCCAGAGAAAGCTTACAGGTGAGCTCTTCTAGAAACTGGGGTTGTTAGGTGAGCCTCTGACAAAGATCCAGAGGGCAGGAGAGCTGTTGCAGGCCTTGTCCAGTAATCAGATAACGGATGATGGATCCACATGGGGAGGGAAGAGAAATAAGACTGGGGGCCATTGATGTGAATCCTGCCCCAGGATCTGCCAAGTCTTTCCCATGTGTTCCTAGGCTTGTTGCTCTGACTGGCATCAGCAGATGGGTACATGCTGGGACCCTCTCAATCCCTGGCATACAATGACCACTACCACACAGGTCCTATTCTTTCAGATCACCAGTGTCTCCTCGATCTGTGGCCAACATTCAGTCTTTTTCATTTTTCTCTTGTCTAAACTGCGCAGTTTATGGGTTCTTAGTTTTCTGACCAGGGGGACTGATCCTGGGCCCACAGCAGTGAAAGCACTGAGTTTTAAGCACTGGACCACCAGGAAAGGCCGGCCTTTCATTCTTGTCTCATTGATACCTCATTCCACAGTCATGGTCTGTCTGAAAGAAAATCATATCTTCTACCTACTGTGTACAGTACATGGGCTTGATGTATGCTCTTGGGATTAATACCACAATTATTCCTCCTTACCAGACTGAATCTCCTTCATTGTTTTGTGCCTCAGTTTCCTAATCAGTAGAGTGAGGCATCCTAATAAGAACTCTGTCATCAGGCTGCCATGACACCTTGGTGAGTTCATGACAAGCATTTAGACCAGCGACTAACACACACTAACTAGGACTGTTACCTTATCACCATGCAGGTCTACTGGTCAAATACAACCTCCTTTCTGGAGACTTTCCATGCTAGCTCTGCCAACACTAATCTACTTTCTCTGATTCTTTTTCCACTTACCATTCATGTAACGTAATCCACATCTTACAACGTGTTGGCCAGTTTGCCAGTTGTTTTGTTCCACAATTATTGCTTACATCTATGCTAATGTCTTTGTTGACTTATGAACTTTTGCACATTTAAATCTGTATGTCTTGTTCTTAAAACTTTTACCACCAGTTTCCAATTCATCAGCTTAGTCGCTCATTTTCTCCTGGTATAATATAGCTCAATATTCAGTGCAATACACATGAAGATTCAATAGCACATAAAGGGACACTGAAATAGTACCTTTCATTAGGGGATCCCCTGTGATATTCGATATTCCCCATGAGAATGACATAAAACTCCCTTGTCCACTCAATGGTTTTTACCAGAAGGCACAACAGCGCGTGGTGCCCTGATAAGAGAAATTGGCAAAAATGTACTGAAGGTTTTGGTTGACTGTCTCAGGCCGTCTGTGAAGAAAAAGATGCACCAGGCTGAAATGTGTGTTGCAGGAGAGTTGATGTGGAACATGGGCAAGAGAGGAGGCAGTTGAAAGGATTAAGGAGGACCATGTGCACAGGAGCAGGAATGTGAAAGAGTATGGCCTTCTCAGGGAAGAATGCGGCTTCTGGCCTCATGGGAGAAGAGAGTTAATGATATAAAGTGCAAAAGATAAAGTGGAAAAGATAAGAGGCCCATAGCAAGGACACTTGGGTTGGATGTGGTAAACTCCGTTAAGATCCAGTTGTTTTTCAAATCTCACCATTTGGGTGTCAGTGTGCAGAACAGATCAAAACAGAGGGTCAGCAGGAAAAGGGAGACACAACCCCATCGCGGCCTCACTCCAATATCATGAGAATCTTGCAGATGCATGAGCCTGCCTTGTCCTCTGCTCCGTGGAACGGGATGACGCTGTGGGGTGCCGAAGGCAAGGGATGACTGGTAGAGCCGAACAAGCAGTGTCCGCCGCCATCAACTGCATGTTGGACCAGGTCAGTGCCTGTCTGGACCACATGGAGGAGAGGAATGACCACCTCCCTTGCCGCCTCCAAGAGTGCTTGAATCCAACTGGCAAACTCACCTTGAGATCACAGCACCTGCTCAGGGAGGACCCAATCGATTGGCAGCCCCTAGTGGAGCCCTCCAAGGGCCCCGGGGCCAGGCTTCTACCCTGCCTGCCTGGGCCGGGCTCTTGCCTGAGCCCTCACCACCTGGCTGAGGGCGGCCTGCAGATATCCTCCGGGATCTGCCTGCCTGGGCCATCCTTCTGGTACTTCACTTTTGCATGCTTGGAAAGCCCCCACCACCTGGCATCCCCTCCTGGCATCAAGAGTGGGCCTGTGACCCACCCTACATGCCTACCTCTCCAAATCCTGGATGCTCCTCACTCTGCCCAGGCCATGAGTGTCTCCCATTGAACTAGAGTGCCATCAGCATGCACGTGCGCCTGTGCACGTGTGCATGGGCACAACACACACACACACACACACAGAAAGTCATTCACATTCTCAACTTTATATAAATATATGCACACTTCCTACCAAAGCTGTCTCCCAAACTTAATCCACCCACGAATGGAATGAAACTGCCTGTTTTTCCTGCATTCTGAATTTTGGATTTTCCAAACCATCATAGTACATCTTATAGGGAAAAGTCATGTCTTAATTTCTTTGTTTGAATGTGTTTGAATAATATTTTGAGGGCAGACTGAATAACATTTGAATGAAAATGATATCGAATGTTCACTGGCACTTCTGTAACTTACCTCTGTATATTGCCTGATCAAGACCTTGGCCCATCTATCGGTTGGTCAGTGTGAGAGTGTCCTAGTAAACCCAGACACGTGCCTAGTTTCTGAACTGATGGCATTCTGGCTGCAGACTGTGCTCTTAACCTGTGAAGTTCAGCCTATATGTGGATGGTTAGCGTCACAGTTGCCACCCTCCTTCTTCCCCTCATTGGATGGGCTCCATGCTGCCACAAACATAGGGCTGGGTCAGGGTATAGAAATTGTGGTGGGTCGTCTTCTGGGACTTGGGTCATTCACCGAGAGTAGACCTACATCTGGAAGAGTAATGGCTGCCCAAAGTTGACCCAGATCACTTGTCCGAATCAGCAAACTCAGACCATAGCAGGAACCCGACACTTCATGTCTGTGCACACGTGGCTGGAGACCAGGATGCAATTGTAGCCTGTGTCCCTAGCCTGTGTCCCTGGGATACAGATAGATGGATAGATGATCGCTGGAGGGATATAGAGACAGAAAGTGAAAAGAATGGGGAGGGAGAGGGAGGCTGAGAGGACACCAGCACAGGAAGCAAAGCACAGACTAGCCTGCATTTGCTTCTGTCTGGAGGAGACTTGTGCCCTAGCGCCTTCCAGGATCCTCACAGCCTCTCCAGTCTGATCCACCCTTGCTGCAGGATTCACCAGAATCCCTCAGTACCTGGAGAACCATCCCGAATGTCAGGAGATGACCACCAGTCACTCTCAAACTGGCAGAAAGGTGCTCATTGCCTTTCTAGTCTTGGCATACCTGAGGTGGGGAAAAGAACCAGAACAAAAAGCAGGAAAGGAGCCCAGAATGGGCAGGCCCCTACTCATCCCTTTTTCCTATTGACTTCCTGTCACCCAGTCATTCATCTCCAAGTTGACACCACATTTAAGGAAAAAGGAGGGTAGAAGGAGGCAGGGATCCCCTGCTCTAAGTGTGTGTGTGTGTGGTGTGGTGGTGGTGGTGGTATAGTTGGGAGGGGAACACTGAGTCTTACAGATTTAAGAGATCCTTGATCTCCACCAAATAACAGAGTTCTAACAGTGTACACATGTCCAGGAGTTATGTGGAGGCTACATGCATGTGCCTGTGCAGTGAGACCCTACTGCTGAGTGCCACAATAGACAGTGGTTCACATAGTTCCCCTTCAGCACGACGTTTATTCCCACCAGCAACATTTCTGAGGGAAACACATATAGCCTGGCCCATAAAAAGTCCTCACTACATGGAAAAAATGACACACACACTCCTCTCAAGTCTTCCCCAGGTCCAAAATCCCTTGTTCTCCTACAAAACACCAAATGTGTCAATGGATTAATTACTGAATTAATACCTGCCAATCCTGATTCAGAGGAGAGGTGAGAAGTAGGACCCATCCCCACCAACCCCAAATCTCAGCCTGTTTCTCTTCAGGCTGCTGCCTGGACATGCACAAGCTAAGTCAGGTAGCTTACATCTTAATGGATAAGACATTCGTTAACAGGAATAGGTCATAATACTGAGAAAAAGAAGTAAATTCCAGGTGTGATGACAGTACAGAGCCCTTCTTCGACCTCCACATCCTGAGGAACCCCTCGGGCAGGAGATGACACGTTGCAGCTCTGGGGGGGGGGGGCCTTAGACCTGGGTGGGAAGAGGTGAGTTTGCTGACAGCCACAGCCTGTAAGATCTTTGGGAATAATCGGGGAGATACTCCGAGCCCACCACCCAGCAGACACATTTTCAATCAGGACAGATTGTGACAGTCTTGCTTTCTTTTCCCCAGGAGTACAATTTCAATGAGCACAAGGGTTTAATGACCGCCCTCCACCATCCCTGCCTCGGCGTCCAGGCGCCCAACGTGTGGTCTCGCTCTACGGCACCATGTGAGCTTGCGGGTGCAGGAGCCGGCAGTGTCTGGAGGCCGCGTGGAACAGGGTGTGTCTGTGGATGTCAGCACGGAAGGCAAGGTCGACTGCTTGCCCGAAAAGCAGTACAGGCAGCCATCAACCCCATGTTGGACCAGGTCAACCCTGCCTGGACCACCTGGAGGAGAGGAATGACCGCCTCTCTGGCCGCCTCCAGGAGGGCTTGAATCTAGCTGGCAGACACATCTTGAGTTCCAGCTGCCACTCAGGGAGGCCCCAATCGATTGGCAGCCCCTAGTGGAGCCCTCCTAGGGCCCCGGGGCCAGGCCTCTACACTGCCTGCCTGAGCTGGCTCTAGCCTGAGCCATCACCCCCTGGCTCAAGTTGGCCTGCAGGTGTCCTGGGAGATCTGCCTGCCTGGGGCCATCCATCGAGTACTTCCCTTCATGGGCCTGGCATACCCACAACTCCTGGCATCCCCACCTAAGGTTAGGTGTGGGCCTGTGACCCACCCAATTTGCCTGCCTGCCCAACTCCTGGATGCTG